AAATTCGCTATTTTCAGAATTTTATCTGCATTGTGTGTACTCTCCTTTACTGTTCGTCCCGCGCTACGTCATGCGTCGCCCAAAAGCCGAACAAGGGTCGAGAAGGACCAAACGCTGAACATAACGCATACAATACGAGTATGATTTATTGCCTTAAACATTGAAACTTATGAAGATTAAGTGAGATAATGAATGCTTTACGACACGAAACTTAATTAGAAATGATAAAGTAGTGCCATAATTCCCTACTAATGGAAAAGCGATTCAAAGATCACAATATAAAAGATAAAAATGTAATTCATGAAAGAACATAAAGGGATGAAGTTTTTAAAACGTCTTCAGTAATATTTTAATTATGCATGTAAAATGGAAATGTTACAAGTAAAATTTCGTCATCGCTGAACAAATAAATTACTTGCGCAACTTCTAATATTTATGATAAACTTAGGCAACAGAAGCTTTAATTAAAAAACAGACAGACTTTTTTTTTTAAATAGTAGAGAAAATATAACTATATATCAATCTTAAATAAGCACTTTAACTCTGACTTTGTTGAACGAAATCACAGATGTCTGGTTACAGATTACGGCATGTGCACTTCGTTTCAGCACAACCCCACTGTGCGACAAAGGAAACTAACGCAAAGCCGGCGCAGTGGACACGCGCACGCGGCCGTCGGGCAGAAAAGGCCGCGCTGCATGGGCTTGTGCGAGCCGCAATCCCCGCCTTCACGTACGCTTCATATTTGCGAGCGAAATTAATGATCACTTCATAACCCTATTCGCTCCTCTTTACCTTCGGCCAAGGCCCAAACGCAACGGCTTGCTACGTCCGTATCGAAAATATTCATACATTTGGAACACACAGATTAGCGAACGCCTGCAAGTAACACCTGAGTAATAATCTAAAGAGCACGAATTTCATGGGCTGAGAGTTCTCCACAGTCGCAAGACCAAACTGCAGAGGCGGTTGGTGCACACAAAAACCAACACACAATAGCGCGGTAAACACCAAAATTTATTCTTACATTCCGAAGTACGAAATGTACATCGTACATCGTATTGTTATTAATCAGGCGTTTAACCGTTCTTCACGATGTCTCTTCTCGAACTGAAGAAAAATTATCCCAACGTACTCCGAACTTGTGCTAAAGGAGAAAGTGACTCCGATTTCTTTCCTTCTCTTCAAAATTAATTAATCAAAGACTAAAATCGTAATTTGCGAACAGTTAAAAGAATTGTCCGTTGAAACCACTGATGATTTAATGCTTGGTATCAACTTGTGGTTATGTAGCTGGGAATCTAACACAACCTCCAAATAATTAACCATTTCATTTCTCCTGATTCCTCACATGTTATTGCAGCTTCAAAACCAATCTTCTCAAGATATCTTGAAGACTGCATTTCTTGAGATATTACAAATGTAGGCATATACAACATAAACATTGCCATCACACAAACCTTCCATTGTTTTCCCCATTAATTTCTAATAATATCTGGATTCATTATGCCAATGTTCATGTGTTACTGCAAATGTAAAATTACTGCAAAGTGCATTTTTCAATTTTCAATTGAACAATAATTAAAATCATAAAATTAGAAAAAACTTTACAAAATGAATGTTTGATATGTAACTACAAAATATACACAGAACCTCACCACTTTTACTCTCAAACTGAAGTCTCATCCACATATTATGCAAGTCACAAAGTTCACAGTATTATTAAGACCGAGAATCACTTGTTCTTGAAACGGAGTTCAATGATGCTTATCAAGTGCTTCAGTCAAACATATATCATGTGATAATTTGTTTACAGTGATATAGTGTGCAGTATTGCAAAGTTATGCAATTTTGAACAGAACTAAGTCAAGAAGACATATTACTGCTATCTTGGGTCAAGAATGCATTTAATACCAGTCTCGGGTCAAGAATGCAAGGATGCAATGAAATTTAATCACAGTCCTGAATCTTTGACACTAGAATCAACAACAGCAATGCATAACTGGAAGACAAAAGAATATATGAATCAAAAAGAGCACACTACTGTCGGTTTTCAAAATTAAAAATTTTTAATACAAAACTAATATTTTGCTAATATTATAATTAAATACATAATTTTATATTTTGCTAATTTAATTAACTAGCTATAAAGAGTCACCAAAAAATATTTGCAACTTAATGCCAATTTTTCACTGCAACAATTATGAAATGAATAAGTTAATATTAGATTAAAGTGATAAGTGATAATTAAACAAGTTCCAATAAAAATTTAATGGTGACCAGATAACACCAATGAAAATCTTAGGCATTCCAAATACAACTTTCAAGTAGATTTTGAAAATTTTAATACTCTTTACATAACGAGTAATTTTGAATACATGGATTTTTTTCACTGTATTACGTTGTAATACGTAACACTTAATTCCCAATTAACTCACTAGTGTATTCAATTCATTAGCATATATTTTGGATACTTTACCTCACAGACATGCAATATCAATGTCAGCAATGAAATATTTACACATGTGCAAAAATGAAAAAGAAAACAAATTAATAATGATGATGTCTCAAACTTCATAAATTTAAATGCTCACAAACTGCTGACATTAAATTAATGGGGGGGGGGGGGGGGGG